GTAAAATACAAACATTTGAATATTTATAATATTTATTTAAGTGTCATAAATTAAATAATACCTCGTCCCATTTAAGACAATCAAGTTTATATCTATAATATGCGACATCCTTCTTCGCCTTTCTGGATACCCAATTAATTAACCACCTAAACATAAACAAAGTAAACTAAGTTAATATAAAAAAAATTAAAATATATATGGAAATTTATAAAACTACAAAAGTTATATCATTGAATACCTAACACCATACGAAAGATCATGCCGCAAACGTGGAGGTGAAGGAGGAGCCAAACATGGAAACCTATTCCACGCCCACATAACTAATAATGGAGTCAATCCCCCAATGGCAACTCTGTCAATGTTTGTCGCCATGCATAATTCTCTATATAAAAAATTAAGAATTGCTCCTCCCCAGCTATATTGTCCTGTGATAGCAAAGTCCTCAAGTAAAGGCAAATATCGGACTGTGACTCTACTACTAGAATGATCTGCTAACATAAATCCTCCAATCAATCTCATAATATACGCTCTAGCAAATCTCGTCAGTTGAAGCTTGTTCTGATTATGCATAGCCACGTCAGAGAAATGTTGGTCTAACCAAGTAAGCTTCAAGCTGCTACCCACAAATGCCTCTGGTGGTGGCTTAACCCCTAGACTATCCTCAACTATCTGTGACTAGTTACCTCCAGTAGCTGCAAATACTGGAAGCCCATCAACCCAAAGACCTATTTATATAGCTATATCTTGAAGCATTATGGTGTATTCTCCTGGTGGCATATGAAAGGTGTGTGTCTCAGGCCTCCATCTTTCAACTAATGCGATAATCAAGTGCCTATCCAATGGAAAGTTGGCAAGCAATGCCACTCCAGCAAAGCCAACCAGCTCCAAATGTGGTAAAATCTCCAATGGAACACCGTCTAGGCCAGCTAGTATAAACTGATACTTCCTAACCTTCATCATAGGATGCTCTTGACCATCCCAAATGTGTTCAGACGCATGTATACTTTGAAAACGTAACAATGATGGATCTTTAGGCCTTGAATTAATCACTAGATTTTGTGAAGAAGATGATGTCATCTGATAATTTAAAAAAAATGTTAATATTATTAACATATTAAACATGACAACATAATGGTAAAATTAATAATTTACTAATCTAAATATACAACTACAAATTTAGTGAACAAAGTTACATAATAATTGAAAATTTTAATAATCATATGAAAAATATAAAATAATATTACAATTACATATTCATACTCAATATTACTTTAATTTAATTTTTGTACAAATTATAAATTTATTATTACAAAACTAGTTACTGCAAATTAGCATTTTTGTTTAATTACACATAGAAATTTTTGTGTTAATAAATAGTAAATATAATAATTATGCCTAATATTTATTACACTTCTAATAATATACTTTAAATTTTATATACCTAATATTTTAATATTATTATATATTTACTTACATTAATGGCTGATTTAATCTTTTACTACATGCAGAATTCATTTTTGTTTAATTTTATAATAATACAAATAATTCCTATCAAAATATGCGTATTAAAATCTTTATTTTTTTACATATAATTTTTATTGCGCTGTACTGTTTAGTATTTGTGTATGGCAATATATTTAATAAGTTATGTAAATAATTTTGTTTAATATTTATAATAGAGGTCAAATTACATATAATTATGAAATCACGTAATTATAATTTTTTAAACAAATGTTACCATTATAAAATCTATATTAGTCTATAATAATCTAAATTTTTTTTAAAAAAATAATTTTATATAAATATAATTAAGATAAGTTACATAGATTTTCTATCTTCAAAAAAATCATTTGTCATAATTATTATTTTTAACGATTTTACATTTTTATTATTTTAAATATACATATATTTCATTTGAACTATATTTTAAATTTCTTCTTTATATTGTCATTAAGAATGAATTTATTTATAATTTTAATCTTTTAAAATTCTATTATTTATAATCTATTGATAACAAATTATAAATTACTATTTATTATTTTTTAAATTTGTTTCCGTGAAATTTTGACTTACTCTACTCAAAATTATTCTACATTTTAAATATGTTTCATAAAATTATACTTTCTACACCTATAATTTACTTTTTTAATTAATCTTAACAGTGATGAAAATTTTTACAAATTTTATTTAATTTATCAGGTTTTATTATGCAATTTTACTTTCTTAATTTAACTCATTATTTATTTTTCTTCTCAGCCAACTTAATAATTTATTATGTTGTAATTAAAGATTGCTTTAATTTTAATTTACTATTTTATAAAAACACTCAACCAAAAATTTTTTATTCACAATTAAAAAAATATTAATCTATTTTTACTGACTTTACTAAATATTTTACAACAAATTTACAATTTTTTCATAACTGCACTTAAACTTAAACATATTATCAATTTTTTTAGTTTAATGCTAAACTATAGAATTAAAATAACAATTATTCAACTTATAAATCTAATTTTTTTTAAAAAAAATATTAATTCAAATATTACATTTTCAACTAATTTTACGTTAAATTACCAAAAAAATATATAAACATTAAAATAAATTACAAAAAAATTATACATAAAATTTTTATCTTTCAGTGACCTGTTTGCCGATTGAAATGGAGTTCCATTTCTGTATTGTTCGATACCAGCACTTGCAAATTTTTAAAATATAATAAAATATTTTTTTTCTTTTACAAATAAAATAAACATATTTATTACAAAATTTCATTTTTACCTTTTAATTTTGTTCAGAAAACACTGCAAAATCAACAACTTGTTGCCCCAAATTCGACACCAATAATGGAGAAATGCTCTTCTAGCCGGCGTAAATGGAAGATGAAGTGCAGAGAGGGAAGAAGAAGGATTCAACGGCACCAGTATCTTCCTCGCCACGTGTCGCAATCAGAAGCATTATCGCCACTTATGCACCGATAGGCTAATCATACAGGCAGAGTCAATACAGCGTACGATTTTAACACGATTCATTTCTCCCTGACCATTGATTTTGAAAAAGGCTATCGTTGTGATTGGTGCGATACAAATGACAATCAGACACGTGGCAGTTATCGCCCTCAAGTGTCCAATACAAGTAACTTTTTTTATTTTTTTCTTTTTTAAATTACTCAAAAATTTATGCGTCTACGTGTTAAATTTTTGGAGAGTATCAGTTGGGGGTTGCCGATAGTGTATTAAAAAATTTTAAAAAATAAAATAGGCTATCGTACATGCAGATGTGATATAAGTTGCGATCCGGCAAAAATTAGCACTAAACAGAAAATATGTTTAAAAAGAACGCTAATTTGAGAATTTATTTTTAAATTAGCATTATTTAAATAAATTTGCCTTAGAATATTGTTCTACATAAATTTATTTTAATTACTAACACTATCGTGATTTAATTGTTGAACTTAAAAAATGTGTAATAAAATAAAATAATAATATGTCTATTTTTGACAAATATCTTAGGATTATCAATCAATACATTAAAAATTATGTGAAGTACATTGTTCAATACATTCATGTTATGATCTTTCTTAAACATTAGTTAATCAATTCAATTTTACTACATTGTTTATGGTAAGATTGTTTAACTTAAAAATACATTACTTATATTTCCTTCTTTTTCTTTGTATTCATTCTGGTATTTTATTTTCTTATTTTATAGCTACCCCTTCATAATCCACATGTTTGATCCCTGATCAAACTTATTGCGCATCAAACCTTCTTTTGCTTGTTCATGTTTGATGTATTTCTTTCATTATATTTTGGTATAAAATGTATATCCTAACATTATATAATGATAAAATGTAAACATTAACAACGTCTTCTACTATTATTTGTTTGAACACTTTTAAATTTTTTTTTGTATAATTCGCTTAAGCAACATCAAATTCACTTAAGTGAGTCACGATTCGCTTAGGCAAATTTTACCTCATTTAAGCAAACTTTTTCTTTTTTCAAAAGTTTGTTATTTATCCAATATTCACTCAAGCTTAAAGAATAACTGCTTAAATGAGTTTTTATTTGCTCAAATTACTATCACTTCACTTTAGTGTTTACCTTTCTTACCAAAACCTATTATTTGTCCTATTTTTGCTTAAAATGTTAAAATTTACTTTGTCATGGCTTAAATGATTTTAGCTTTGCTTAAGCATTGATATATGTCTCCAAACCTTACTATTTGTTTTATTTTTGTTTAAGATTATTAAAATTCTCTTAAGCAACCTATAAGATAGTAAATTTGCATAACCGACCAATAATCATGCCATTCTCTTATTATTTAGGCAAATTTTAAATTTTGCTTCAATGAATAGTTATCATCTTTAAATAATTTTTTTAAAATTCGCCTAAGTAAACGAAGGAATAATCCTATATTTACATAAATTAAAATTTTTTTGAATGTTTGTGATAACATAAAAGGGTTTATCAAAATTTTTAATTGTTCTTACCCTCCTCCCTAGTCAATAAATTAGATCACAATAATATAAGATTTATTGACTTAAATATGAGAGACCCACTAAAAATGGAACGAAACTCATGTAACACAAGAACATAAACAAATTAAATAAACAAAGGGTAATGTGTCCCACTGAATTTTGTTTTTTTTGTTTTTTCTAATTTCTAAGAACAATTTACCATATTTATGAGTTATATTTGGTTTAATTTAATAATTTTTTCATATAATTTATTAAAATAATTTATTAAAATCATTTAAATAAAATTATAATACAAACTCTTCATCAAGTTATTATGCTGAATAATAAATTAAGTAAATATATATTTCTTTAAGAAACTGGGCTGTGATGTGGGCGGTAATTTTAAAAAGTCACCAAACAATCCACGCCTCTTTGTATGTTTGTCTTCTTCAAATTTGGACCCTCAAGCCCTGTCCTTCCCTCCGCGCTCATTTCACGCATTACTCTTATTTATCTCTCTCTCTCTCTCTCTCTCTCTCTCTCTATACATTTGAATTCAATCCCATCCACCGCTCTCCCTCCCTCTCTCTCTCTCTCTACATTCAAAATGAAGAAAGGAACTAAGAGGAAAGCGAGGAACGACGAACAGCCAAAACAAAACAAGAAGCAATACACTAAACCACCCAAACCCTCCAAACCCGACGAGTATTTCGAGGATAAGCGCAACTTGGTACTGCAATATACCCTTTTTTCAATTTCAACTTTTTTTACTTTAGTGTTCCTCTTCTACCAATGCTTGTGGTTCTCGATCCAAATTGTGCATAACTCGTCGCGGTTGTCACCGATGACTTTACTTGTGGTATAAAACTACCCACCAACATTCTCAACTCATTGGTGCACTGTGGGTGACTAACGATTTTTGCTTTTCCTCGTTAATATTTGTAGGAAGACTTGTGGAGGGAAACGTTCCCTGTTGGAACAGAGGTTCGCTTAGTTGTTTTCTAGATTTTTCTTCTGTTGTAACTTGATTGCTGTCTCGTGTTTTTTTTTCCATTGCTTCTTATTATGATGGCAGTGGGATCAATTGGATTCTGTCTATCAATACAAGTGGAATTTCTCTAACCTGGAAGTGAGTATTGTGGTCAACGACTTGATGGTCAATGGTAAAGTTCTGTGTGTAGTGTTTTATCTTAACTGTTCAATTTGATCAATAAATTGTGTACAGGATGCATTTGAAGAGGGTGGTGTACTGCATGGGAAAAAAGTTTACCTCTTTGGTTGCACGGAGCGTAAGTAGTTTGCGAATTTCAGTGTTTTTGTTATTTTGTTAGGATGGGACTTGAATTTGATGGGCGGGCATTTCCCTTTATTTGGTTATTCGTCTTATTTTTTTTTTATCCTTCTTGACATTTTCAGCTCAACTGGTTTGGTTCAGAGATGAAAGCAAAGTTGTTTGCATACCTGTTGTTGTAGCTGTAAGTTGTTCAACTTGGCTCTTTAAACATTTTTACATGTGTTGGCTAAATTGATTAGTGCTTATGAATTTTTTTGGAAGAAAATTAGATCAGTTGTTCGTGTAAATAACCATAGTCGTTTGTGTTTTTTTAGCTGTGAGTTGTGCGTCACTCTTTGTAAGGCATGTCCCTGCTTTTATTAAAATGCATATGACTGTTGGGTGTCAAGCCTTTATGTGGAAATTCCAGTTCTAAGGTTGTCAGGTGTAAACGTGGGAATGATTATTGTAATTATATAACATTTGATGATTGTAAAACCATAAATTTTTTTTAAACTTTAAATTAAGAAATATTTCGACTTCCTTTTGTGAACAGGTGGTATCACCTTTCCCACCATCTGAAAAAATTGGGATCAATTCTGTTCAGAGAGAGGCTGAAGAGATAATTCCCATGAAACAAATGAAAATGGACTGGGTTCCTTATATTCCCCTGGAGGACCGGTATTATTAATTTGGCTATTCTTGGTGGTTGCTTTGAAACATTGCTTCATGATCATCTCTGAATTTTCTTTATATAATTTGTTGTCTTGAACAGAGAAAGCCAAGTTGATAGACTGAAGTCTCAAATATTTATCTTAAGTTGCACCCAAAGAAGGTATTGCTCTCTCTTTGTCTTTCCCTAGTTCCCCTTACATTCTGTATTATTAGCCTGCTTCAGACGTTTATGTTTCAATGAGTAATGCATCACCATTGAGGATTTTTAATTTACTCGAAGTTCTGATTTAATAGATGTACTCTGAAAAGTTATATTTCTTAGAGAGAACATATCTCTTGCTAGTTGCAACTTGATATGTTGTTTTCTTGAGTGTTTGACCCCCCCCCCCCCCCCCGGGTTCTGCTTTTGCATCTTTTCTACTTGTTTTTTTTCTTCACTGTTGTTTTTGCATTTCAAGGTAATTTTTTATGAGCTATAACCGATCATATTATTTTTAGCTTGGTTTTGCAAAAGTTACAGACAGATATTTTTGAATAATCATAATGTTTCAACTTTCAACCTTTTTGCATACTTCACTGCTTTTCAATTTTAATTCATTATTGTTTTGATATATAATACTTTTTCAATCTACAAGTACTTTGGAACCTGCATGGTTCCCTGCTGTCTACAATGTTATACCTTCTAGCACATCCTTTCTTTAACTGACTGACGTAGAGCAGAGCCCACTCTTAAAAGTCAAGCTATTAAGAACTCAGGAGGAGCATCTGTACCTTAAACGAGAGTCTCACTGCCATCTGATGTTGGAAAGAGTGGTCCATCCTCGTTGGAAGGTGGTAAATCCAGGATCAGATACCACTCCTTAAAGCTGGGCCTTTAAGAGGGGTGAGCTTCTGCTTAAAAAGGAGTTGTGTGTCTTAAACAGTTAACATGGAAAGCATGCTCTTTCTCACTGATTGCAATTAGACTAGTGTAACAAAAACATTATTTAAATTTTGTCCTTGATAGGTTCCATTGCCATGGTTTTCAACCCTATTATATAAAAATGGATTGAACCTTACTAGATTCAGTTATACCTACATTGTTGAGCTCTCTTAATCTCTAGAGTAAGTATTATGAATATATGATGATTATCCGATATCAATTCTTTGGACCATTAAATAAAATGTTAATGGGAAAACTGAAAGTCCAGTGCTTTGATATATAATGCCATTTTAAGTGTTTAGAAGCTAATTATCTTCATGCAACTTGATGAGTTGACCCTTTAACGTATTAGCTATTTGTTGTTGCTTGTTGAGATGTTTTATCCAAATTCTCTTGACCATTGATGTAGCAGCATGTTTATGAATAGCTTTTATCTTACTTGTGGTATGGATCTATGTCATACAGGGCTGCATTAAAACATTTGAAGCTGGATCGTATAAAGAAATATGAGTACTGCTTGCCTTGTGAGTTTCTTGCTTTATAGTGTGTTTCTGGGTATCTAGACTAGAATAATTTGCAAGTGAACTTTGGATAACATCATTCCCATTCCATTGCTTGATACAACTTTTTTTGAAAATAGTCCTAGGTATTATTGATCCCCAAGAAATTTATATATCCACGTTTTCTTTGCATTTTATTCTCACGATGAGAGACTGGTTTCTTACTGATCTGTAACTTATTACTTCCTCTTCATTCTACCTTGTTATTATTTCTTCCTTTCCTGGAAATATCATTAATGCTAAGTAAACATTTTGATGAATTTACTTGGAAATAACATTACTGGTTATAGTGTTCCAAGGAATGTCATTCTACGGAATACAATAATACACCTTCAAACAAATGCCCCTTAGATAAATATTGATCACATGACATGAATATGTATATTAGTTGCATTCTTGAATGGAATAGTTAGTGAGGGAAAGATATGTTATCTGTGATTATTTGATTTGTTACATTATTTAATCACTATTCTTGTATACAGATTTCTACCAACCATTTAAGGAAGATGAACTTGAACAGAGCACCGAGGTTCAAATAATATTTCCAGCAGAGCCAAAGCCGGTAATTGTGAATGAGAAAAATCTTGCAAAGAGATTGACAGTGTTTGGATCCATTTTTGTATGACATGTTTATAAATTGATCTGTTTAGTAGCTTTCTATTGCCAAGTTTTGGCAGGTTAGTGCCAAATTAGGTTTTCTTACATGCTTGCTTATCTATCTATTTCTCTTTTTTGCAGGTCTTCTGTGAATTTGATTGGGAATTAGATGAACTTGAGGTAATGGATTAACTTTACTGTTGTTTGTAGTTTAGAATATGTCAGATTAAGCCTGCTAGATGTGACTATGCTATTAGCAAATTATCTTTATTTTATTTATTTTTCAGAACTTGCAATCATACATTAGCAAATTATCTTCTTGGCATTATTATGCCAAAACTTCATTGTTTCTTTGACTTCTCAATTTTCAATTATTGATGTCTTCAGTCTTCCTACAATAAGCAGCATGTGACTATGCTATTGAGTTCTTAAAAATCTTGACATTATTTCCATTGATAGATGGGAATTGTAAAAACATGAGAGAAAGTTTTGTTTGTCGGTGCTTTATCTGTGCTGTGTTGTTTCTCCACATTGAACCTCCTGATAGAGAGGATAAACTAAAGGATTTCAGGAAATAATTTACAATTAGACAAATTCCTTATGTACAAAATTGTTCTACTTTCCACAGGAATTCACTGATAAGTTCATTCAGGAGGAAGAGCTATTGGAAGATCAAAAAGATGCCTTTAAGGTACCAAGTAATTGGAAATCAATAGTCGATTCATGCTTTTCAACTCTTTGAAGCGACAGTTAGACTGATCATTTTGATGTTTCAGGAATTTATCAAGGAAAAAGTACGGGAAGCAAAGAGAGCCAATAGAGAGGTACTTTGCTTTTAAGCGTTGACAAATTATGTTGCTGGTATCTGCATTTATACCTATTTTGTCTCCTGTAGGCAAGGGAATCTCGAAGAAAAGCTATTGAAGAAATGAGTGAGGAAACTAAAGCTGCATTTGAGAATATGAAATTTTATAAATTCTACCCTGTGCAAAATCCAGATGCACCTGATGTTTCCAATGTTAAGGTAGGTATTTGGGCATTCTAAGGCTGCTTTTTCGGAGTTTCAAATATATCATCTTAATTTCACATTAAGGCATCAATTTGTGCTTCTAGAAATGGTAAATCTCCCGTGGAACATTTTAGGAAGAGTGGCAGGCAATACAAGTTCATACCCTTACATGCGTTCATATAGAAATTATTTTGTTGTGTATTGCATGGGTATCATTAAATTAAAAATGAGTATTTTAAAATTTAATAATTTTTAAAAATAAATATTATAATTACTAATCATAAATATTTAATTATATTAAATAAAATTAAATAAAGAGATAAATTTTAACAAAAAATAAATTATGAAAAATTTAAAATATAAATTAATATTAAATCAAAAAGTAAATATTTAGTCTAAAAAACTACTTGGTATGATAAGATAGATAACAATTTTTTTAGAAGTACTCTTCTTTGAAAAATAATTTCTAAAAATAATTTTATTTTAAGTATTTTCATTTACAAATTATATATAAAAATTGACATGATTAATATTGATGGGAGGTGCCAAAGAACACTGGATGTTTGATTTCTTTCATCTCTGGATTGTAAAACCAAAGTAAGGAGGGTGGAAAAAGGCTTTACTTTGGTGTAATAAATGCAACTAGCTAGAGCAAAATCATAGAACTGTAAACCGTTAGTCTCTCTACATAAGTGATCTATTGATTCTATTCTATCAATCATCATTTTAAAAGGGTTGACCATATTCTTTCCCCAAATTTATATCCACTTTAAGCTGGTTTGGCACAAAGTTGGCCTGTTTTGGCATTAAGGTGTATGCTACTGTAATTATTATAACTTATGTCATGAATTTCTTGTTGTTTACTAGACATTCAAAATATATTTTATTTCACATTTAATGTACACAACATTATTCTTTGTATTTGGCAGTCTCCATTTATAAACAGGTATTACGGAAAGGCTCACGAGGTTCTATGATAGGATTCAAGACGACGTTAAACTTCAAAATTTGCAGGTTCTTATTGTCTGCCATCATAGAGATTTATTTATCGATGTCGTTTAGGAGGCAGGCTGGTGCTTCATTAATTTTTTATTTAGCAGTGAAGGTGTCTGAAGGCACATACAATGTAAAAATAAAATGTAGCTCAGAAATCACAGATAAGTGAAGTAGATGTTAAGATAGCAGGAATATGAATGAAACATGTTTCCAAATTCTATCTTAAATTTGCGGGGCTCTTGTTTTTTATTCTCTTTGGGGATTCTTTGTCCATTGAAAAGTTGTATGGCAGGATTTTGATTAGAAGCTACATGAAGAAATGATTTCGCTGTTTAGGGAAGTCAATTTTTTTCCCCATTATTTTGGAGTTCTTGCGGGAATTGTCCCATCTGTAACTTTGAATCGGGGATTTTTTACCTCATGCTAGCTAATAAGGACAAAGATTAAAAACTCTTCTAAATTAGATTAGGAATAACTATATGGGTTCTACTCGTTACTTTGTGCGCTCCTTAAACGTTAAAAATAACAAAAATCATATTTGCTTTTATGTGCTTTGCTTCTCTCTCTTTCTTTCCAAATTAGTCGAGTGCTCAACAATAATCCAGAGATATCTTGAAGACAATGTCAAATCATTGATGTGGTAGTGCTCCAATGATGAGGATGCAATTACAAAGGACTCAAAAGGCTTTGTCATCAAGAGAAATGTGATAGAAAAAGAGGTGAAGATAAGAAGACAAAGGCAAGAAAATAAAGCAAGATGATGATCATGTGAAATAGAAAAATAATAATAAAAAAAAGATTTCTCACATTGTTAAGAAGAAAATTCACATGATATTAGGAAAAAAAAAATCCACAAAGAAGGGAACCCCACAAAAAAGATCACATGATCATGTGTCTTTTCTCTTTCGCCTCACCATACTCCATGTTATTCTCTAGTTGATTCACTTCTCGGTTTCCCTGCTTCTTATAACATTGTTAAACTCAGTTTCCACACAAACTATTGAGATGACATTCCATAAAATGCCGTAACAAGTTATTGTTGAAAGAAGTAATAAAAAAAAACTTTAAACAATTGTTGGAGTGAGAAGGGTGGAGACATTTGTTATGAACAACGCAATCCACTTCATTCAAATGTGTCGCATAATTGATAGTATAAATTAAATTCTTCTCTTATGAATGAGGAAAAGCAGATTCAAACTAATCTATATAAAAATAAGAATAATTAAGGTTTGGTGATCATTTGTCATTGGAAAGAAGTTAATGAAAGCAGTTGCGTAAGTCGCACAAAAAGAAAATAGAGGTGAATCAACTAGAAAATAACATGGATTATGGGCATTGCACATACAACTTTGCTATGTAGTACAAAATTTACCACAAGATCGCACGAGTTTTTTAGCATCCTAATGTGAACTTTTTACTAAGTTCTTTTTCAAAAATAATTTGATATATTATTAGTAAAGAAAAATATATTATCAACCTATCAAGATAACATCTTGGTATTATTTTAAAAAGTTATTAAAAATTTAACAATTTCCAATGATATAGAAACTTATAATTAATTTATAAAAGTTCCCATCTTCTCCTGCAAGAGTAAAAAGGTCATAACAAATTTCAAGTACATTTCCCTCCATTTACATTTTAGTCCATCCAAAATAAAAATTTCACATTTATTTTATTCTTATTTCTTTCCATTCAAATACTACATTATTTTACTAATAATTTTTTTCCATTTCAATTCTGTTCAGCTCTATTTCATTTCTTTCTATTTCACCATTGCATCCAAAGTGTTAGCGACGAAGTCTTATATCATGAAAGAAGATTCCAGCAGTAGACGCAAGGAGGGTGCGCACAATGGAATACTCATTGCTTAAAATATCAGATCATAGGAGAAAATAATTGAAAATAATTGACAAAAAATGAACTAAACAAAATGTGGATGATAGCATTTGGTTAGTTGACTAACCACAAGCTTAGCAGCCCGTCGGTAGCAAGGGGTATTATACAAAAGGCTTTCCACGACCAAACAATGTTTTACAAATCAACTTCGTTGAAATCTGACACCTTCAGCATAAAATGGTCTTTCCATTGACCTATGCTAGCAAAAGGCATGAGACCACAAAACAATGGTAGAAACACAAGCAAAGTAGCATAGAACAAAAATCGGCGAATCCAATACTGAAAAATTGTATTATCCTTCGATGTTTGCGACTCAGTGACGGGTCCGTGAAGGATTGAGTACAACACGGATGTCCAGCCAACAGATAGGAAATGCAGCAAGCACAGAATCTCCCAATATAAGAGCCACACATTACCACTTCCTCCCAGTGTGTCTATACACAGCTTGCCACAATAGCCACAAACAAGTCCTAACATTAAAAGGATGAAAGTAACCGGCATAGTCTGTGATGATGATGATGTTGTTGATCGCTGCATGAGCAAATATACAACAGCTAAAATCATTAAGACACCAAACACCATTCGGCTCATAACTTGAACTTGACACCACAAAATATGGAACCTCGAATTGAACGAGATCACATACTTAGGAGTCCACCAGGATGTAGATTCCTAAAATACAAAAAAAAAAAAAAAAAAAACACATCGTTAATACCTCCCAATTGAGCAACGGCAATGCTGGAGTAATATGCAGATGAAATCACTTAAGTACTGTCATAATTACATCTAGCTATAATTTACATCTCAATTCTTGAATTAGAGAACAAACCAAGAAAAGATTATAAGTAGTCTTTGATCATGACAGACTATAAAAGAAAAACTAAATATGAAAATCTTAAACAGAAAGCTGATTTCTTCTCCAAATCAACAATATGCTCCTGATTCGTTATTTTTCACAAAGCAATTTTAGAACAAAGCAACTTACACTCTAGATATTACTTAAGGCAATGATTACTAGCCAGTTCATTTCACACAAAAAGGTTTCTGCGATGTTCAAGAAAAGATTACTGGCACTTTGTCAAACATACAAGAGTTAGAACTAACTTAATTCAAGTCAAAAAATTTGAATAACTTATATAATAATTGCCAGACCAAAGCACAATGCAGTCGTGTCCGTCACATGCACTAAACAAATTGGGACCAGGAAAAAGAAAAAAAGATTATACTTGCCTGGGTTGATGGTGTACATGATTCAGTAGCTTCAGCAATCCGTTCATAGGAATAAACATAAGCACCATACAAAAGTGAGAATGACATAATAAGCAAACCAGCAATAAGACAGTCTATGCACTTCTTTTTTAGTTCACCATGCCTTGTATCTTCTAACTGAGTCTTAAACTTTTCCGCTTTGAAAGATGCCTTTGATAGCCCCATGGCTAACTTTGATCTCTCTAGATTATTCAAATCAAAGTTGAGAGCCAATGCAGTCTCTTTCAATTTCAATCTTCTCATTGTAAGGCCGAGTTCAACTGTCTTGAGGTCATTAGAACGACATTGCTCTACAATAGACTTCTCAAAAGTACCAATCATAGGATTATTACTTCCAAATAAAGAAGAGGTTGGAGAAAAACCAACCATTTGGTTTGATTGCCTATCCAAAGTAATGTCACGACTAACTGGATCCAAATGAAAGTTATCCCTGACCTCTTCACGGCTAATTGATTGATCTTGGATCTCAGTATGAGATAGATGCTCTGAATGACCATCCTCCATAACAATATCACCTGAGCATTCTCCCTTGTCATGAGTCAATTTAGAACCTGGAATTTCCATCTTCGTATTATTAAATTCATTTCCTACATTTCCCTTAGATGATTCATAAATTAATTGAAGAGTACTCAAAGTGCTGCCAAAAGACTGTTCAAAATTCTTTGTTAGACCGTCTAGCTTGTCTCCAAATACCTGTGGCCGGATAGGCAGAAGTCAAGAAAGTAGCACAGAGACGTTACTTCAGCAAAATGGACTTTGCTTAATGTTGATATGAACTGCTAAAGAAATGTAGTAAAACCGCAAACAAGGGACGAATCAATAATTGAATCTGGCTTACACTGGCTAAAGATTCTTTGATAGCTGACGTGCACATCTACAAGGTAGACAAACAGAGAAACAGTCACGGCTAAAATTCAAATCAAACTATCAACGCATATCAAATAGGCATACAAGGTTAGAACAATAATTCCCACGTGACATTGGCTGGAAATGGTAGATAATACCAGTAATAGATTTATTATATTTTGTATTTTTCCTAAACATCACAATTATCACAAAAAATCCAATGAAACGTCTCTAAAAATGCTTTATAAACGGCATACAATGGTATCTGAGCGCATAAATCAGAATCAAATTTTATGGAAGTTTGCATTAGAAAAAGGGAAGAAAATTACCATCGAAAGATCACTGGGAGACATACTCTCGGCTGCTGCATTTCTTCTATACAACACCTGCAAACAAAATCATTCAATAAATGTAAAAAGTAAGCACTAATTATAATCGATTGTTTTAGTACAAGAAATATAATTATTCAAGGCCTTGTACTAAAAGAGAGTGATAGAGAATAGTTGTTAAATGGAAACGAGCTTTTATCAAGGGCATTTACCTGAGCCAAAACGGCGGCGAATGACATCCCAAGAGGAAGCCCAATGGCGTCTACACTAGCCCTATTGCGGCGAACAAGAACTCTAGGGTTCCGTCGTTTACACGCTACCCCCTTACCTTTACCTTTTCCCCTTGGTGATGAAGACGACGATGCCGTTTCGGAGGCTTCAGAACTTTCCCTTTTGTCCTTCATCAAAGCTTTATTACTGTTGCACCAGACGATTGGTTCTGTTTATGGTTCCGAGGAACAATTCTGAATCTCAGCCACGTGTTGTCCCCTTCCGTCGCAATTTCAATGAATATGAAACGACGCCGAAACGAGGAGATACCTCAAATTTCAAACTCCCAACGTTATACTGTAATAATTACTATATGATTTTTTATTACTGGGAAGAGAGTGTTGCTTCTTACTCTGTTTTTGTGTTTTGAAACGTTGTCTATCTCTCTTCTCTCTACCTTCATTATTGTACTTTGCCGCGTGGTACCCAAGCTTACACTATACTTTTCTGTTTTTTTTTATCATTTTTTCGAATGCGGAATAAATATATTTATTTTATGTTTTTAAATAATAAAAAAATTTAAGTTGATCGATGATAGCTACTCAGTCAATTTGAATAACTCTTGTGCACTTGATACTTCCGTGTAACTTGGACCTGTTTTACAATAATTTTATGTTTTTTACTGATCTTTTTACTTTTTGTAGAAAAATGAAAATTAGTTACAAAATTATTTAAAACATGTTCTTTAATATATTTTTTTATGAGTCTTTTTCATATTTAAATTTTAAACCTAAAACTTTATTTAAAGAGAATTACACATATATCACTCGATTCATACTCTGTAATTATTTTACATCGTGAAGTATCAATTTGATATTGAAAAATTAAAGTTAATTTTTGAAACAGGCAAGATATATGAAATATTCACTTTATATTTCCTCTTGTTATGCTTTTAAGTTTTTGTTTTTTTTAAAAGAAAATACTTGTAATGAGTCTTGTAAATAAAAGGGGAAAGAGAAGTAGAAAAAGGATAAAACACACAGCAATTTGTACATTTACATTCAAGGAGATGGATTTTGACATTTAGATAGACTTAGAATATGTGTCAGAAGCACTTGTCTTTTGTAAACATACTTGTTTACTAATTTTTAACACGACTGCAACAACTTCTAAGCAAAATATAGGTTTTTAAAAAAAATATATATAATTAAAGTAATATTATTTTTAAATTAATTCTCTTAAGCATTTTTATCACATCATTACATTTTTAAAAAAATATATAAATAGTTTCATATACTAGAAGGATAAAATTTAAAAACAGTAACGTGTTCAAATATTAATCAGTTTTATTTTCATTAGGGTAAAACTTAAAACAAACAAATCAATAATAAAAATATGTGGCCTGATTTGAATAAAATTTTGTCAATTTACTTAAATCGCATCGTGTCAAATCATTGATCTCTGAAAAGTATTTTAAATTTATTTTTGTTTTTATTTTATATTATTATAATGATAAATTATAATTAATACATTTTTATAATTTGTTTGAAATAGATTGAAAAAATTTAGATTTTTATCTTTTTAGTAGTATTTATTAATGTATTTATTATTATTATATATATATATATATATATATATATAAATTCATTCATTCATTAAAAGGGTTTTAATTAATTTATTAAATATATAATAAATACAAACATAAATAATAATAATAATAATAATAATTTATGCTTAATTAATTAATTGTCATAATAATAATTAAATTAATTTATTCATGTTTATTTGATAATTATAATTAATTATTTTTTTGCCGTAATTAATTATTTATTATAATATAAATTAAAAACAAAAATAATTTTAAATGACTTCATATCAAAAAATTTCAATGATCTAACATACGATGCGATGTGAGTGAGTTTCATATGTGTCAAAAGAAATTTAGTCAAATAAATTGTACACGTATCTCTATTTAGTTGTTTAAATTTGAATTTGAATTTGAAAAAAAAAATTCATCTTTATTGTAAATAAAATTTGTTAAGATTTTAACACATGTCTTCATCTCAAAATTTCATCTACAAATGGAGTAAAATTAAAAAAAAAATAGTTTCACACGTATTACTGTATTAGGTGCAAAACTTGTGATGTGAAAAAAAAATCTGACAAAAGAAATTATGTTTTTAAAAAAATTTATATTAATATTTTATTTTTGGTATTAAAGAAAACAATCTTAAAACATTTTATCTTGGTACTTTGTTATTTATCCTCTTTAAAATAAACATAACAAATTCATTTTTTTAAAAATAATTTAGATATGAGAAAAAAAATTAAAAGATGTCATACTTGACAAATAAAGTTATCACTTCTACGCATCTTCCATGTGTAATAGAGTAATGAAAGTCATGTAGTTCTTTTTTTTTTTAATTAGGTTTAAGATAAGTTGTAAGGAGTTTTTAAAAAAATTGATTTTTTATCATTATTATTATTTATTGAAGCTTTTTTTGAAATTGGATTTTAAGTAAGTTGCAAAGTTTTTTTTTTTTTGAAAACTTAATTTGTACTTTGTTATTATTATTATTTTTTTAAGTAAATTCATTATTGCACAGGGTTCAAATTAGTACAGAGTACTCAATAAACCCTTACAATCCAAAACAACGTTAAAAGTGAATCTATCTTTATTAAAATCATGTGGCTGTTACATGGAATCAATAATTTTTTTTTTTTAACAACAAAGGTTTAATTTTTTACATGTAAAGAGGAAATAAAGAATAACACATGTAATAAATGAAAAAAAGGGAAAAAACCCAAACAAAAGTAATGGAAAAATAACTCTTTGTTAGTTTAGGAATTGTTTTTTGTAAGATTTACAAAGAAATTATTATTTTTTAAAGATTTGTGAAAAAGGATAATTTTTAAGTGTTTTAAAAAAATTTTAAGGTTTAGGGTTTTTCAAAAGGATTTTTTTTAGGTAGGCAAAAAAGGATTTTTTAGAAAAAAAAAATATTTTCTAGGGTTTGCAAAAAAGGGATATTTAAAAGAAATTTTTGAGGAAAAAAATAAATGATTTTGAAAAAGAAATTAGGGTTTTTTTTATGGTTTCGCAAAAAGGATAAATTTTAAAAAAGAAAGGATATTAGGAACAAATTAGGGTTTTCAAACATAATGGTTTTTAAGAGAGAAAAAAAAAAGGAAAATGATTTTTGGGAGAAAATTAGAGTTTTTGTTTGGGTTTTTTCCAAAAGGGATGAATTTTAGGGGAAGAATTAGGCTTTTCTTTTTAGTTTAAAATTTTGTAGGGTTTACCATTGCAAAAAGGGATTTGAAAAAAAAATAAAAAATTAAGCCTTCTTTTGGGTTTACAACAAGAATGACTTTACTTTTTAGCGTAAAAATATTTTGTGACTTTTGGGACAAAAAGAAGACATAAATTATTTATGAATTAATTTTTTTGGGTATAATAAAATAAATTTTTTATTAAAAAGAAAGGAATAAAAGGAGAAAAGTTTTTATGATTTTACCAAATTTAGAGTTAAGGGTTTAGGTTTTTGCATGGACGAGTGAGAATTGTGAAAGCAAAAAGAGGATAAAAAAAGAAAAAAAACATACAGAAAAGAAGAATTAAAAAAAAAGATAAAATAAGTATTTATTTGTTTTGTCAATTCTCTCATGGCAGTGTAGAGTTCCTTTATTGGAACTTTCTCCTTCAATCTTTAACATGTTATCAACTCCGTCAGTTCCTTTTCTCCTCTCTCCTCGTGCTCTCTTCAATTCTTGCTTTTTTTTTCTTTTTCTTTGTTTCGCGAGTTCTTCAAGAAAGTTTGATTTTTTCTCTATTGATTCCTTAAAAATAAAAAGTGCTCCCTTTGAAAACCTAAGACTCCTATTTATAGGTATTTTTTAAAACTCTAGATCCTATTTAATAAGATTATTTATTTATTTATTTTAATAAAATGTTCTATCTTCCCATAATTCTTTATTTTTCAATGGCCACCTCTGGGAATGGAAACAGGCTAGGCCACCTGATAGGGGCCTGTGGCCTGACCTGATTTAGGCTTGACCTGACCTTTTTAATAAACAAACCAGGCTTAGACTTTTTTTAATATCTGTTTAAGTAAATAAGTCAGGCTTGAGCTGTTTATAAAGCCTGTTAAGCTTGACAGGCCGACCTGTATAAAATATATATATATATATATATATATATATATATATATATTATATAATTTAAAAATAGAGCTGTCAAAATATATTAAAATAATTAAGTTATTTAATAATATATTTTTTATATTCTTAATTCTCTTATTATTAAATTAATATATTATGTTATAATTTTATTTATTTATAATTATAATAAACAGAAATTATATTTTATAAAAAATTAAAAATATTTATACATGATTATACTTTTTAAATAATAAATTTATTTAATATTAAATTATTACATATGTTATATTTAAATAATTTAAAAAATAGTTAAGTTTTTGAATAGAAATAAGACGTAATCAAAACTAAACGAAATAAAATTTATAAATAAACTAATAAAATAATATTAACATATTTTTTATACTCTTAATTTTATTATTATTAATTTAATTATTTAATTATTATATTAATATATTATGTTATAATTATTTTTATTTATAATAAATAGAAATTGCTTAAATTTAAATTATTTTTTATTTAAAAGAAAAAATTTATTAAAAAAATGATAACAAAATAAAATAAAAAACTTATTATAATATATATATATAATCAGACCGTGTAGTAAATAATATAAATAATATAATTATAAATAAATTATATAATAACATATTTTTTGGTAACTTACATGTGTTTTAATTAAATTATTAATTAATTTATCAATTGATATGTAATATATAAGTATGTATTTTAATTTATTGTATCAGTTATAAACTAATAATTTTTATATTACATTAATGTTATAGTGTAATTAATTTTACGTTTATTTGTTAATTTAAAATAATAAATTAATGAAGAAAATAAAATTAAATATTTTATAATTATTTCTTTTAATTTAATAGTTATTATTGTTGTCATTATATATATATACATATACATTAAGTTTAAATTTTTATATTAAGTTCTGTCACATATTTTTTAATTAAAATAAAAATTTAGAAATATAAGTTATTTTCATTTAAATATAAATTTTAATAATTCTTCCTATGCTCATATGTTATTTTTCTACATCTATGAATTTTATACTATAAATATTTTTTGTCTGCAATTTTTATAATGATGATATTTATTATTTTTTAAAATATAATATTTTTTTAGTTAATTTAATAAATTTTGTAAGTGTTATTTTTTGTTATCAATTTTATGTGGTTACTGTGATTTTATTTATTGAATATAAAATATCTTTTTACAAATCAAATATAATTATCATAAAAAATAATTAAAATATTTAACAATTTTACGAAATTAAATTGAGAAAATAAAAATATAAAAATTTTATAATATGAAAATATTTATAATTAATGCTCAAATAATATTTTAAAAATTGTTTATAAAATTGTATAAAAATTATTACAATTATTTAATAATTATCAATAACACAAATAAAAATTTGAATATATGTAAACTAATTTGATAATAAAATAATTATATTTTTATTAATATTATTCAATAACAACAATCATTATAAAATTTTAATATTATACAAATTTTATTTTATTTTTTTTTATCTTTTCTTAAGTATTTTTATTGGTATAAAATTTATAATAAAAAGTTTTATTAGTTGTATTCACTACATCATAACAAATCACAAATATAGTACAACTATATGTCTCTGAGTCAAAGCTGCTATCGTACTTACTTTTTATTATTGTTTTATTATTATCTATAGTTACTTTAAATATAAATATAAGGTAAATTATTATATTTGTTTAAACAAACTAAAGAGTAGCAAAATCTTGGATGCAAATGGGTGTATCGTATCAAATACAATTCTGATGGCACTATTGAGCGTTTTAAAGCTCGCTTAGTAGTTCTTGGAAATCATCAGAAGGAAGGCATAAATTATACAGAGACCTTTGCCCCAGTTGCCAAAATGGTAACTGTACGCACTCTTCTTGCCATAGCAGCAGCCAAGTCTTGGAAACTCCATCAAATGGATGTACATAATGCGTTTCTCCACGGGGATCTCCATGATGAGGTGTTCATCCGCATGCCTCCTGGTTTTACCGTTTCTTCACCTCACAAGGTATGCAAATCTTTATATGGCTTGAAGCAGGCTTCGCGTTGTTGGTTCGCTAAGCTGTCTCATGCTCTTGTTTCCTATGGCTTTTAGCAATCATGTCTTGATTATTCTCTCTTCGCTTTGCATCGCGACGACATTCAACTTGCTATTTTAGTTTATGTTGATGATCTCATTATTGCGTGAAATGACTCTTCCGCCATCCAAAGATTTAAAACATATCTTAGTGACTGCTTCCACATGAAAGATCTTGGCACATTGAAGTATTTTCTGGGCATTGAGGTTGCTCGTAGTCCTACGGAAATTTTCCTTTGTCAGCGCAAATATGCGCTTGATATTATCTCTAAGGCTGGTCTTCTTGGCGCCAAACCAACTGGCACTCCATTAGAGCAAAATCACCATTTGTCCTCAGACTCTGGGCCACTTCTTGATAACCCGGAGCGTTATCGTCGCTTGGTTGGGCGCCTGATCTATCTTTGCTTCACCCGTCCTGAGCTATGTTTTAGTGTGCACACTTTATCTCAGTTTATGCAGCAACCTCATACTGTGCACTGGGACACTGCTCTCCGGGTGGTTCACTTTCTCAAAGGCAATCCAGGACAAGGTATATTACTTTCAAGTAGCTGTGATCTCCAGCTTCACGGGTGGTGTGATTCTGACTGGGCTAGTTGTCCTCTTACCCGTCGCTCCGTGACTGGTTGGCTTGTCCAACTGGGCCAATCTCTTATTTCGTGAAAAACTAAGAAACAACATATTGTCTCACGCGTATAAGATTAGAACGCAATCAAAATTAAAGAAACTAATATTTAAAAATAAAATAATAATATTATATGAATTTATTTTTTATATTCTTAATTTTATTATTATTAACATTTAATTATTATATTAATATATTATGTTATAATTTTTTATTTATAATAAATAAAAATTATATTATATTCAAAACTAAAAATATTTAAACATGATTACAAGTGTTTAAAAAATAAATTTATTTAATAATCAAATTTTAATATTTGTTATATTTAAACAAACTGAAGAAGAATAAGAAACGATCAAAACTAAACGAATTAAAATTTAAAAATAAAATATTAATATTTTTTTAATAATTTTTTATATTTTTAATTTTATTATTATTAATATTTAATTATTATATTAATATATTATGTTATAATTTTTATATTTATAATAAATAAAAATTGCTTAAATATAAATTATATTTTATTTGAAAGAAAAAATTTATAAAAAATGAGAAGAAAATAAAACAAAAAGTTTATTATAATATATATATATATATATATATATAAACAATTTAAAAGACTGAAAGGAAAGTAGGCAGTAGCAGGACTACTAAATGATATGTAGAAAGTAAAAGTGCAGTATGTATATGGAAAATTTAATGCATAAGAAACTAGAACGGTGGTATAACCAACACAGATCTAGTGAAGGGAGAAGAGAAGAAAGCTGGAGCGACGGTAGTCCGAACAGGACCGGCTAAGAGGGAGAAGAGAGAAAAATAACTTGAAAAAGCAAATTTTATTGAAAAGATCTCAAAGAGGAAAGCTTACAAAGGATAGTATCTCTCAGAGCTTCTCTCTCTTAAATCTCTCTTGTCTTACTAAATGAAAGAGTATCTCACAATATAGTCGAGGCCTCCTTATATAGAAATTTTTTTTAGTACTATTTCTACAGTTTCGGTTGGTGACTGGAACTATTTTCTACAGTACCGGTTAATTAAAGATCTTGGATGTCGATGCCAAAACAATCATCTTCATTTTGATATATTTCTTCAATATTGGTATCTTGTTTTGTAGAAGATTCTCCTTCTTCTTGGTTTTGCAATAGCAGAAGAACATCTTGTAGATTTTTCTTCATTTTTTCTTTGGTATCGCATCCTGATAGAAATGCTGCAATTTTGGATTTTTGATTAAGGAATTGAAATGTTGCTGGGTCTGCTAGATTTAATAATTTGGGATTTTTCCCAAAATATTCAGCGACTCCTTCTGGACCAACATGTTCAGCATTGAATTGATTCCACCATTTTACAAAGGAATACCTGTGTAATAAAGGGAGAGTGTCTTCATTTTCTGTTTTGCCATATCTGTATTGCCATGAGAATACCCATGCTAAGGCAAAGTCAGAGAAGTATTTAAGATCTGCTGGAATTCTTGATTCTCGCAGATATCTGCCTTTGTAAATTTTGTATCCTTCTTTGACAGGTGTGGGAAGGATTTCTTCAATTGGTCCAAAATAATCCCACCATTGGAGAAACCAATTTGAAAAGTCATATTTCTGATTCTTTTTAAAATATATTAACCAAGAATGTCGGTTAAGTTTATTTTGGAACCAGAAAGTTCTTGTCCACGCGTCAATGTAATCCCAATAATTATAACCTACTGGATCAAATGGTTGGGAAAACTTTTTATAAGAGTTCAGATTTTTTCCAAAAGCCTTTGGAGTTAAGACTTTCAGGATCTGGATTGTTGAATGGGTTGTAATTGAAGGATCTTTATGGTCTTTGTAGTGTTTAATGGAAACAGAATCTGAATCCACTAAGATAAACTCATAAAATTGCCTGGTTTTATTAGCCTGATATGGTCTGAAATGAAATCCTGGTGGGAAGACTTTGGTAATTGCCTTGTATGGGTTTTTGTCCCAAAATTCAGGTTCCATTTGTATGATTGAGGAAAATTTTCCTTTGGCTACATAATGGTTCGGATTTGTAGATTTTTGTTTTCCCTTTTGAAGGTCAAGGGTCCCTTCTGTTTTACTAGGATTGGTTATTGTTTTCTGGGTTTGATTAAAAGACTGGAGTATGGTATTTAGGCTTGCTAAATCTATTTCCATGTCTTCTTCAGAGGCAATGTCAGCCCATGATTTTTTCGGTAGGCTACTTAGACTTCCTTGTTGGACAGCTAAGAGTGTACCTATTGGGAGAGCATAATCTGCTTTGGTTTGTTTTGTGGTTTTGACAATAGAATCAGTCTTTTTGGAAGATTCTTTTGGGATTCCAGATTGTTGTGTTGATGACTCAACAATTTGGATTGCTTTTTGAGTCGATGACTCAATGGGGGTAGATGACCCTGAAGAAGAAGATTTCGAATCTGCCGAAGCAGATTGTGGTTTTGATTTATTTAATGTCAGGGCTAGCCTGACCCTGCCACCTCTGGTAGTTCCTCCCCTGGATGGGGTAGTTGCCTTTCTAGGCATCTTACTTATCCTGTAAATATTCACGGGTAAGGTAATCAGGAAGGGAGTTTGAGGTGCCTTTGATATACTCAATATCAAAATAAAAAACACTTAAAATTGCTTGCCATCTTGCAAAAATTTGTTTTGAGGCAAGGTTTTTTACATCCTTTTGTAAAATTTCTTTGGCAGACTTACAGTCTACTCTGATAAGAAACTTTTGATTTAGTAAATCAGATTGAAATTTTGAAACACATAAAACAATTGCCAAATCTTCTTTTTTAACAGTAGAATAATTCTGTTGTGCAGGATTCCAATGTTTAGAAGTATATGCAATAATATGCTCATGTGACTCAATTTTTTGCTTGAGGATACCTCCATAACCTATGTCTGAGGCATCTGTTTCGACAATTTTTAAGGCTTGGGGAATAGGAAGATATAAGCAATTTATCTTCCTGACCTTATTTTTGATTTCTTTGACGACATTGGTATGAACATCAGTCCAAGGAGGAGGATTTTTCTTAAGCCTATCATGTAAAGGCTTAACAATGTTATTTAGATGAGGGATAAAATCACCTACATAATTAAGACATCCTAAAAACCTTTGCAATTGGGTTTTAGGGACCCTAGACATAAAGGTATATTTATACCACTTGAAATGTTCTAAGGAATCACATTTGAGGTTCAAAAGTAACTCACCTGATCTCTTCCTCCAAAGAGAAGGATCACCTAGGAAATGTTGGGATATAGTGTATAATAATGTATACACAGCATCAGGGAGACGCTCATTGTCACTAACAATGATTTTCCCTTTATCATCAATTTTAACTGCAGAGAGGATGTTATCTCTATCAGCTTCAGTGAGATAATTATCCCACCAACCTTTGAGTTGGCCAGTAAAACCGGCAACGAGAATATAGACAATGGTGTCTTCGGCCATATTTTGATTAGTAAAATAGCCCATAGCGACAACCGACATATTTTGAAGTTTGGCAATGATATTATATTCAGATAATCCATCGATATTCCAAATATAAATATCATTAGAATTAAAACTTTGAATAAAATCTTGTTTTTCTTCTAAAATAAGATCAGGAGCAGTAGCTCTATTATAATAAAGCTTGGAGGAATTTTTCCAATTATTGATTGGATTGATAGCTAAGACAGAATCTGTTTCAGAACAATGTTCTGAATCAGCCTTGGAAATGGCATTGACAGTTTTGGCAAGAGACCTAGTCCTGGGTTTAGCACTAGATTCTTCAGAGGGTTGAGGAGTGTCTGGAATGGTAGTGAGGAGGCTAGTGATTTTACTAAGCAACTCGTTTTGGTTTTCCTCGTTCACTTTGGTTTTTTCTTTTTGCCTGAGTTCTAAGATTTTCTGCTTAACTTTGGCACTAATCTTAAAAGGTTTAAATAGGGGTTTTTCTAATTGTGGTTGGGAGGATGAAGAAGCTGCTTCTTCAATTTTAGGTTTGACAGGATTAACAGAGATTTTTTCTCCTAAAACCTGAAGGTATTTATTGGTATAATTGGCCTGTTCCATGAGGCCTTGGATGTCATGAGGAGTGATAGACTCATCAGGGTTCTTATATATATATATATATATATATATATATATTATAATAAACTTTTTGTTTTATTGTAATCAAACCATGTAACAAATAATATAAATAATATAATTATAAATAAATTATATAATAATATATATTTTTGTAACTTGCACGTGTTTTAATTAAATTATTAGTTAATTTATCAATTTATATGTAATATATAAGTATATGTTTTAATTTATTGTATCATTAATATTTTCTATATTACATTAATGTTATAGTGTAGTTAATTTTATGTTTATTTGTTAATTTAAAATAACAAATTAATGAAACAAATAAAATTATATATTTTATAATTATTTTTTTAATTTAATAGTTATTATTATTGTCATTATATATATATATATTGCATTAAGTTTAAATTTATTTATTTTTTAAAATATAGTAATTTTCTTTTAATTGATTCAAGAAATTGTGTGAATGTTATTTTTTTTAATCAATTTTATATGTTTAGTGTAACTTTATTTGTTGAATATAAGATGTCTTTAAACAAACAAAATATGTTTCTAAAATAAAACTAAAATATTTACTATTTATATAATTTTTTAAAAATAAATCAAGAAAAATATAAATATAGATTTTATTAATAGAAAATATTTATAATTAATACTTAAATAATATTTTAAAAATTATTTATAAAATTATATTAATATTATTATAATTATTTAATAATTATTAATAACATAGATAGAAATTAAAAAAAAATATAAACTAATTTGATAATAAAATATTTATATTTTTATTAATATTATTTTTTTTTGTAAGAGGCTTTGTTAACAAGCTTCAGGCCAGCCTAAAATAAAGCCTTTAACAGGTTAGGCTCAGACCTAATAATTATGTAACAGGCCAGGCCTGTTTAGAGTAAAGCCTGGCCTGACCTGACCTGTTTCCATCCCTAGCCACCTTTCAAATTTTACTAAATTGTCTTTTTCACATCTCTTA